AAAAAAAAAAAAAAATCTCCTACTTAGTCACGCCCTTAATAATAAATTTGAATAATCTAATTGTGGTTTATTTTTGGGGGTTGCAGAGCACGGTGGTTTTGAAGATCAGATTGCACTGTGAAGGTTGCAAACGGAAAATCCGGCGGCTCATTGAGAAGATCGACGGTGAGAACGAGATTAGTGTTTAATTTAATTAATTTTTTAGAAATAAGATAAGATTAAATTAATCATCCAGGGATGCTGCAGTCACTTTCTGAAAATTTTAGGAGCTAAGTAAAGGTGATTAATTAATTAATTAATTATTTATTTAAAGTTAATCTCATATTTCTTTATTTTTTAAAAATATTTTAGGAGTTCAAATGGTAACCGTAGACCCAGCTGGCAAGGATCTCGTAACCGTAAAAGGCACAATGGACGTGAAGAAGCTCGTGCCGTACCTCAAGGAGAAGCTCAACACAGACGTGGAGGTTGTTCCCGCCAAAAAAGATGAAGGCGCCGGAGACAAGAAGGAGAAGGACGGCGCCGGCGAAGAGAAGAAGGAAAAAGAAGCTGCCGGCGGAGAGAAGAAGGAAAAAGAAGCTGCAGACGGTGAGAAGAAAGAAGGCGGCGGTGGTGAGGCAAAGATGGAGATGAGTAAGATGGAGTACTATGGGTACCCGGACCCGCCGCTGCCACTGTTCTGGCACGACGGGAGGGTGTACAGCACGAGCAATGCGGTTGAGAACTATCCTGGTCTGAGCCATGGTTATGTGCACCAAGGCTATGGGAATCAAGGTTACATGAACCAAGGTTACATGAACCAAGGATATGGGTTGGATCCGGGCTACCCTCACCACGCGCCTCAGATGTTCAGTGACGAGAACCCCAATGCGTGCTCCATCATGTGAAAAACACGCAAGAAACAACTGCGAAGAAGACAGAGGGACCAAAATGTAAAAAAGGAAAACTTCTGAGGGAGATAAGTAAATACCAAACTATGTTGGTAGAATTTTGAGATTATCGTGTAGTTTAGAGGACAGGGTTAGACCGGCCGGCAGGCTAGAGCCGACTTCATTAGTTCATTTGTGGAGTGTATTTCTCAGTTCCTTATTTGGTTTAATAAATATATAAAAAAGTTTTATTAATCAAAATTTTAAGAAATACAAGAAAACACTACTTGTTTAAGGTTTTTTTATAATACTTTATTAAAATAAATAA